GATGAGAACAGGATGGGTTTCAACACTGACAAGTGCAAGGTGCTGCACCTGGGGAGGAAGAACCAACAGCATACCTACAGGCTGGGGAATTCCCTTCTCGTCAGTGCAGAAGCAGAAAAGGATCTTGGAGTCATTATTGATGCCAAAATGAACATGGGCCAACAGTGTGGGGAAGCGGCCAGGAAGGCCAACCATACCTTGTCACGCATCCACAGATGCATCTCAAGCAGGTCTAAAGAGGTGATCCTCCCCCTATATGCGACACTGGTCAGGCCACAGTTGGAGTACTGCATGCAGTTCTGGGCATCGCACCTCAGGAGGGATGTGGACAACATGGAGAGGGTCCAGAGGAGGGCCACCCACATGATCAGGGGACAGCAGGGCAGGCCCTACGAGGAAAGGTTAAGGGACCTGAACCTGTTCAGCCTCCATAAGAGAAGGCTGAGGGGGGATCTGGTGGCCATTTACAAACTGGTTGGGGGGACCAGCAGGCACTGGGGGAGTCCCTGTTCCCCCGAGCAGTACCAGGAGTGACAGGAAATAATGGTCACAAACTGGCAGAGGGTAGATTTAGACTAGACATCAGGAGGTGCTACTTCACTGTTAGGGCAGCTAGGATCTGGAAACTACTTCCAAGAGAAGTGGTGCTGGCTCCTACCCTGGGGGTTTTTAAAAGAAGGCTGGATGAACACCTTGCCGGGGTCGTTTGACACCAGTGCTCTTTCCTGCCATGGCAGGGGGCCGGACTTGATGATCTGCTCAGGTCCCTTCCAACCCTACCCTTGCTGCATCTCACCCAAAGTCAGTGCCTCTCAAGACACCCTAAGACTTATGGGATAGATGTATGGCTCCAAAACCTCCTCTTTACCATGCCCTATGCCTCACAGATTGTATTTAAACATGGTCTCTTTTGAGGAGGCCACAGTCTGGCTCGACCTCCTGTCATCACTAAGCCCTTAACCCCAAGTAGCGATGCCCTCTGGCACTGGGGTCCCTCCACCCCCTGTGGCAGTGCCCTCATAGATGCAAGGCTCCCTGCGGCCCTGTTGCTGCACCCTCACTGGCAGTGGGCTCACTTCAACCCTAATGATGCCTCCTTCTCAAGTAGTCTCATCCAAGTCCACCAGATTCAAATAACAACATAAATACAAGCCCCTGGGCTGTAACATAATAGCAACAATAATTTTAGAGGTCACACTCTGCCCCTTTAAGGAGGCAAGCTTCTCCCTGAACAATGTGTGCCTCCTAGCCCCAGATACTTTAGGAGCTCCTAGAACCCATTAGTCTTACCAGCAACAGAGTAGGCAAATAAGCATCTCTGCATAGCATTTCTGCAAAAGCTCCTTCCCCTGGCTGCTGACAGAGAACTAACCTCCTGCCAGGCCCAGCCTTGGGGCTTATATGTGCCCAGGGCCCTGCTTCCTTCCCGTCAGCTAACTGGGTGCGGATGCCAGCTAATTCCCTGATTATTCTGCTGCCAAGGTAACCTGCAGCTGTGGAGCCCTGCCTAGCTCTCAGGGCTCTCTAACTAAGCTGCCTCTGCTCTTAGTGCCCTGCGACACCACTGCACACGTACCACAACCCCCCCAGCCACCCTTCCCCACACACTCACAGCCCTCCACAAGCTCCATACCCACCCACACCCCACATATTAACACACACCAATACATGCTCCTCCACCCCACATACACACACCCCCAACCCCATACCTACCC